CCGGGCCGGGGTGGCTCTTGGGGGGTCCCAGCCCCGTGTCCCTCTGCCCCTTGTCCCGGGGAAGGCACTCAAGAAAAGCTGCAGGTGCTCAGCTCCCCTTTGGGTGCACTGACAAGAGAGCAAATCTCACCTCTGTCACACATCTACCTTGGATTTGGCCCCCCGAGAAAAGCTGGGGGGATGCACAGACAGGAGAACCCACCTAGGGTGATGTACACACAGGAGAATCCACCTAGGGTGATGCACACACAGGAGAATCCACCTAGGGTGATGTACACACAGAATAACCCACCTAGGGTGATGCACACTCAGGAGACACCTCACTTTTGTGACAAAAATACTCCCAACTTTTGTCACACACATACAAGCCCTAAGGACCAAGCAAAAGGTTGAGCTTCAGGCTCTCCACGGTGTTATTCCACCGTAGGATTGGTCAGTCCAACTCGGGAGACGTTTAGGAGCTTCTGGGAAAATGAAAAGGGAGTAAGTGACCAGCCAAGAAGTTTTTGCTCATCTGGCTGTTGTTGTTTTCGCTGCAAACCAGGCACAGGAGGATTCCAGCCACCACGTGGGAGATGTGTGGTAGCACAGAGCTTGGTGGCTGTTGTGTTGTGTCTTGCAGTGCCTTCACCTCCTCAGCCTTCCTCAAGGTGAATTTCACCTTGCTAGAACCCAAGAATGTATTTCCTAGGCTTCCCAGGACCATCCAAACAGAGTTTGTTAGTGTTGGGTTTTGCATCTTTGTTTTCCTTCTGCTCCTCAGGCCACACTCAGCCTCCTTATGTAATGACTTGTGTTATATAAACTCCATTCTTCAAGGAACAGTCATTAACCTACTACTGGGTATTGAAAATACCAAAATACTGTCACGCAATTAAAATCACTAAATGGTGTCCTCAAATTGGAGCACAGATTGCATTGCAGAGCTTGCTTCAGTTTTAGATTGAACCACACACATGAAACATTGGACAAGGCTCTGCATGGGAAGGGCAGTGAGGCTGGGAAGGTGTCACATCCTGCCCAACCCATTGGGGTTCCTTTCTCAACAACCTTCTGCCCTGAGCTGCTTTGACTTAGAGAGCTCAGAGGTGGATTCAGCCAGCACAGAGTAGTGCTGAGAGGATGCAGCTGGTTATTTACTAGTTGTAAAAATCAAGGAGATAACACCTGGAAGACAAATCTCAGTGAATACTGTGGAACTGAAGCTTCTCCTGGCCATGACCCAATGTTCCTGATCTTCCAACCATCCCCCCAAACCAGGCTGGGTCAGCTCTCAGCTGGGCTTGGGGCACTGATGAAAGATTTTGTCACTGGCTCAGGTACAAACCATCTCCCCTTGCTGTGTTTTGGGGGCAGAAGTCCTGTCTGCTGGGGATCCCAAACATCACTGACCATTCTGTGTGCCCTTTGCCTCCCTCCTGCAGCCACAGGACAGCAGAGCTGCCTGACAGGGAAACTGCAGTCCAGCCCTGGGCAAAGTGACAACACACCTGTATGAGCAAAGACTCTTTTCCAATGCTTAGTCAGTTCCAAGTTGCCATCACAAAGGGTTTGGTGAACTTGCCCCTAACAAAGTGCTAGAAGTAAGCTGTTCCCTTTTGAAAACAAGGCATCTGCACTACCTTTGGCTCCTGTTCAGCTTTGCATCTCATGTTGTGCTGTCAGCACCATCCTCACAGGCAAGTCCCCAGTCTGCATCACGAGATCTCAGTGGCATTTGGCCAGTCCCTAACCAAGATATTTTTTCCCCTGTGAGTATGCAGCCCCAGGCAGGAATATTATCACGAGCCACGTTCACAGAACTGACTCCCTCTACTTTCCTCCTGGAGGGAGCACAGACCTCAGCTCAGCTCTGTGCAGCTCACACAAGTCACAGAATAGTCCAACACCATCAGAACCCACTCAGCTGTCCTATACCTTCCCTATGCTCCCCTGACTCTTCCACAGTTCACTGCTGGTCCAAACACTTGAGTTTGTCTTTATCAATACCTTCTCCCAAGCTCCTGCATGCCTGAGAAAGAGAAGTTGAAGCTGGATAATCTGCCTAGCAACAAATTCACTGGGGAGGTCTAACTGGGATCATCGATCTTTGCAGTCAGATCCAGCACTACCCAAACCTTGGGAAGAAGCTCTTTGCCACCACATGCAGCCTGATGGCATCATCTGCATTCCCTGGTGCACTGAGCCTCACAGCAAGTGGAGGAAACCAACAAGCAGAGCAGCTCAGCAGCAGTGCAGAGGGAGAAAACCACCAGGTTTTATTTACACGAAGCCATTTGAAGATGTGCTGATGTCGCTGAAAGATGTTCATGAATGTTCTGAAGGTCTTAAGAACTACAAGAAAATAGACACAGAATCAGGAGTGACTTGTGTGAAGGATAAGCAAACTGCAAACTAGGAGTGAGCAGGGCTCTGCTACTCTGTGCCCTCTGGATGGATCTGTGAGAGATGCAAACCTCAACAAGTTCTTGGCAAAGATCTGCCCACACAGGAGCAGCACAAAGTTCATCGAGCAAACCTTTACAAATACACTTCAATAGATGCTGTTCTATGAAAGGCCCATATGGATTCGAGAAAGCCCAAAAAAAGCAAGAGAAGTGCTGACAAAACACAATCACTACCTTCAGAAAGGAGGGGAAGACTCCTTTCCTGGGAGGAATCTGCATTTTAAAGCCACCTCTGCTGGCCCCGTGGAAGGTGAGAGAATATCCTGGAGGGCTGGAAACTCTCTGTGACAGCAGCAATTCTCATTACTCAGCCTGTGTTCACAGGGTGTTAACCCTTTGCTGCTTCACTTCATTAAAAAGGGAGAAGGACTCAAAAAGGAACCATCTTTTAGCACTGATACTCATCAGCAGGAGTTGATTGATCAACCTCCAAGGCAGGGAGGAGCACACAGCATCATCCATGTGCCACGTTGCTCTTAAAGGAAAAACACATCATTTTCCCCCTTTTCTTTAAGCCAAAGTTCCTCTTGAAATTCCTTTTTGACACAGAAAAATAACTTGAACCTTGTGTCTAGCCAGAGTTGGTTTTACACCTGCACACATTCGTGTGTGTATCTCAAACACGACTAGGACCACATACAATTGCTGTATAAACTGAGTTTGGTTGTGGATTTCAATGCAAATGAAGCACATGGAGACAAAGGAACTACATAAATGCATAAACTGTTCACTAACCTGCAAGTTCAGGAGAAGTAACATATCAGAGTAAGAATAGCTGTAGCTGCAGGACAAGTGTTGCTCACAGAAGTTTGAAAGACTTTGGACTGTGAATCATTCACAATAGTTACTTTTCCTTCCAGAACAGACAGACAAACAAACATCTATCCATCCCTCTGCACACTGGTAAATAGTGAGAAAGGAGCAGCTCCCAGTGTTGCTGATGCTGTATGGGGAAGGAAAACTGCTCAAAATACTCAGCACTGAGCTTGCTTGGAATGCCTTTTTAAAGAGATCAACTAAAGCAGTTCAGTCCTTACAGAATCATCTTCTTCCTTTGGCTGTAAATATCCCCATGGTAACAGTGATGGTATCAGACAGACAAATGAGGAGGAGCAGAGGAGGCCAAACCAAATCCTTCAAACACACAGACTCCAGGAGCAAAATGGGACAGGACAAGCCAATTGGAAAACATACACTGTGCAAACCTTATCACAACTGCTGCTCCAACTCCCCATCCTGTTTGTTCTGATCTAGGCATTCTCCACAAAATTGGTGCTTTAAGGACTTTGAACAGACAAAAAAAACCCCAGCACAGGTAATTCAGGGATATTAAACATTCCTGGGACCTGATTATGACCCATTTGGACACTGTCCAGGCCACGGATTGAGCTGGCAGAGGTCTAAGTTTTCCCACAAAGCAGCTGAAACCACAGCCAACCCCCAAATCCCAGGAGGAGAGAGAGAAGTATAAGGTTTCTTTGGGGGCCTGAGTCAGACTTCAGGATTTGCAGTGCCAAGAAGTATTTGCCAACATGGCCTTGCAGTTTCCAGGGGTGGAACCTGAAATGATGCCCTTTAACCTATGTGTGTTCACTGAAAGAGGTTAAGCAGCATCACCAGATGATGTAAGAACTTGGTTTGTTTTCAGCTGTGCCAGTGTGAACAGACAGATGAACTTTTGCTCTGTTTGTACACACACCCTCAGTTTCTCCATGCTGAGCTGCACCAACCACGTTTACAACTGGTGTCAGGGAGGAAAATGCTTCTATTCAACACCAGTTAAAAATAGCTTTACATTATCCCTGTTGGCAGTGGAGTTTGCCATTTCTCCCCATCTCCCTTAGAGAAGACATACCAAGGTGTCCTGACTGCTCTGGTCACAGTCACTGAGCTCACAGACAGTGGTTTACCTGAGCAGAGCCACATTTCCTCCTCAACTCCTGTTCTGAAACAAGACAAACTTGGAGGCTTTTCATTTTTATTGTATGCTTCCAACTTTATAGCTAATAATATACAGATACTCATGAGTTTTATCTTGTTCCATTCATATCCTCACTGAGTTCAGCCATTCTGTCACATGAAAATCATAAAATAAAAAAACCAAAAACAACAAACCCAAAACAAACCCAAAAGCACAACTGAAATAAAATAAATTTGTAAGCTGGAAAAAATACATTATAAACTTATATTCAAGAAACATTCTCTTTATCATTAAAAACCTACTTGTAAAGAATTAAAGTAGGGTTTAAAGAAGACCTTGATTTTTCAGTTTTAAATAGGTGGCCTTCGTGTATACTTTCCATCAAGTCATATGTACAAACCCAACCAGCAGCTCTGCCTACCTTGGACAGAACACCTGAAACAAAAAAGACACTGAAAAGGAAGTTTGGAAACAAACAAACAAATAAAAGATCAATATTCATCTTCCAGGAAAATACAGTATAATCAGAACTTTAAACACATGCTTCCCTCATCTGTGTTAAGGCCTAAGAGACAGATGTGCTTTAATAAAAGCAGACAGTGTGAAGAAAAGTCCTTCCACTTTTCTCTTCGAATTCCTGTAACAGCTCATCTATTTCATTTTCCATGTCTTCTGTGTGCTGTATCTAGAAGAGAGAAACCAAAAAAAACCCACTCAGCAACCACACTCTGAGGATCTGATGCTGTGCAGAGAACTGCAACACTCCCATTGCTTTTGGCTTCCTGGGAGATCTAACCCAGCAGTGCAGCCCTGGGAGCTTTGCTGCCATTCCCAGTGCTCCCAAAGGCACAGATCTGCTTTGTGTTTAGATCTTCTGCTTTCTGTTTATCTGCAGCTCCTTCCTTCCCCAGCCCACCACACTGGCACTGAGCTAGTACTTTGTTGAGTAGGCAACATCCATCTCTGCTAGGTAACAAATGGAGCTCCAGAATAGCTCCAGGCACACTGAACAGATGGCGAAAATTTCAAGTCCTTGAACCCTCTTAGGCTTTTTGAAGCTGGAAAGGATTTAAGACCAGAATAGATCACACAGGCTGGAGTTTAAAAAAAAAAAAAAAAAGAAGCCTGTTGCCATTCTGGAAGAGGTGAACTCCTCAACCCGGACAGGGCACAAGGACACAGGTCCTTCCTCTGCTCTCAGGGGTTGACTGAGTTCAGCTCATTTCAGACTCCAAGGTCTGGGGCAGCATTTTCTCCACATCTCACACACAGCAGCACTGCCCTGTGAAACACACCTATACAGGATACTCTTCATGGGGATCAAGATGCAACTCTGATGTTTAAACCCAACATAAATACAACTCTTTTGACATGGAGCCCAATTTGGGAACCACAAACTCTGTTCTAATTCATCCATTTGCCCAACAGCTCCAAAAATAACCAGGATGAATTGGGAATGTACATTTCCACATGGATTTTACTTAAACCACTAAAATGCAGCAGCTCTAAGGAGCACTAAGCAAACCCCAGTGCCTGTGCAGCCCAGGGCACCCCCAGGCAAAGAGTCTCTCTACTACTTACACACTGGCAGAGCTCACAGATAAGGAAAGCACCAAGTGTGGCCTCCTCGTGGTTATCCTGAATGTCCACATTGATCACATGGACTGGCTGACATGTCTCCTGCTCTCTGGAGTTTAAATCTGTGTGGAAAGAAAGCACATGTCACAGCAGAGCTTTGGGTGGAACGGGGTCAGGTTTTACACAAAGTACCAACAAGAGGTTTAAAAATACATTTGTCACATCACTTTTCCAAACTGTTTCTACAGGATTTTTTGTTTGATGTTGTCTTAAACAATCATCCCTTTTATTTCAAAACCAGGAGATGGATTTTGGGAACAAAACCATTCAGATTTGTGGAAGGGCCAGGACAGTTTATTAGCTCTGCTCACCTTACTCTGACAGTCTGCAAAGACCATGATAAGAGTCTCAAAGGTCAAGAAGGATTTGGGGCTTCCTCACCTGGAGGCTTTTAATTGCTCATCTTTAATGAAGGCACTGTCCACCCACACTCTGAACGTTCCACTGCAAGGTAAACTCCTACAACTGACAGCCCCATTGGAAAATTCTAGGGCTGAAGGGGGAAAATGTTCCCATCCTTTTCCTACCAGTGCACCCCTGTGTTACTGCTGTGCCTCTCTAACACAACTTTCCCACTCCACAGACTTTAAGCTCCCAGTTCTTCTCTCCTCACCCCATTCTGCACCTTCATGTTGGCAAACCTGTGCAGACTTCCAGTTTAGAATTCCAGCTGTCACATCCAGGGCCATTTAGGCCTGTTGTGAGGGGCATTCCCATGAAGTCAGGGAGCTGCACAACTGGAAAATGAGCAAGGGGTTGCTCTTCACCTCCTTCCTCATCTAAAACATCAGAGTGGAAGATGCTGTCTCTGTGAGACACGCTAAACTTGCTGGAGATCCACTCAAGCACCACAAAAGTTGCTCTCAAAACCTCCTCATACATTCCAAACCCTTCACTCGAGCACTCAGAACACTGCTCAGCCCCAATGTCACGTGCTCTGAATTGTGACATGACCTCTGAGGATGGAAAAGGGAAGGCAACAGCCCTGTAAGGTGTATGTATGGTACTAATTCATCTGGCTGGTCTTTAGGTGGGGAGACACCTTAAAGCTCCCCCAAGCCTCTATCTAGCACTCCCAGAGACAACTGCAGCTCACTGAGTCACTGCTGAAACCCCATGGCTTGGAGTGAGTTCACATCAAGCCTTCTGTGCTGTGCTCACACAGAACCCAATCCCCAGCTGAGATCCTTCTGCCTCTTTGACTCACTTCAGGGCAAAGCCTTAGTATGTCTGCACAAGGTCACCCACGCTCAAGAACAGTTTCTCCACCTGTACAGGAGGTATTTATTGTGGATAAACTGCTCAGCAGGTCACAGGAAGCCTTCTGAGGGAAGGAAGGACAAGCTGCATGAAAAAGACAGCTTAGACATTGTACCCCCATCAAGCCAGGGTGGAAAAATGCTCATGACATACAACTGGTTAGTTTTGGGGATCCATGAGCCAAGCCAAACATGTATGAGTGTCTGTGTAGCCCCTTGGTATACAGACACACTCTGTGTAGCTGCACATCTTTAGGACACAAGTACTGAGCCATCATTTCTCTGGGACATAAAGTCTACATCAATGACTGGAGCTCTGTTCCAGCAGCAGTAGTTGGAGGAGACAGATGGTTCCAGATTTGTGAAGGACTTCAGGGAGGAAGAGGGGAAAAAAAAAGCACTCAAAGTTAACTTGGCTTATCAATTCAAGGTCCTTACCTTCTACTACTTGATCATAGACTCTTTCTTCACATGTTAGGATCAAATCAAAAACATCTTTGCAGTTCTGGAATCTTTCTGGCCGTGGCTTGATTCTCTTATTTCTGTCCAACATGTGTAAAATTCCATTCTGTGTGTATCTGAGGTCGCTCGAGTTAAGTATCTTTACTTGGAGAAAAGTCATGTTGCAAATGACCAGCACAAGTTACATCATCACTGTATCTTTAACATAAAACTCTGTTTGCAAATCTAAAGATCAGTGACCACTAGAGAGATTCCCAAGATGACACTGGGTAATTCATGCAGCTTCTGGTTCTCAGGGACCTGTCACTGCCATCAATGCCAGGACAGCTTTAAAGGGCCCTCAGAAGGACAATTTCTCTTGGGCAACTATTTTTATATCCCCAGAGCTTAGAGCACTCAGCCTGCACTGCCTGTGTGAGCACCATGTCCTACACTCACTCCTCAAAGGCTCTTGGTGTCACCTGCACAAGCTCCTACCTGGGCCTCGTGTTTACTTGTGCAACTGAACTGCCAAAACCAGTCAAAGAAACCCCAGAGGCACATCCCTGAACAATATCCCAGGATATACTCCCATTCAGGGAGTGAAGGAGCTCTGACTTGATGCCTGTCAAAGTTTCATTGCTGTGTGAGAGCAATCTGTGATGCTGCTTGGCAGTTTTATTTGTGCTGGTGCTGTAACCTTGAGGCTCTCATTTGCCATCCTGCATCCCCTTCCAGCCAGGATTCACTCATCTCACTGTCTCCTCAAGCCTTCTGGGACATGCAGCTTCATTAGCAGCACTGCAGGGTTGACTGTCACAGAAATCTACTCACTTGAGTAAAACCAAACTCGCTCTGAAGGCAAAGTGTTCTGGGCAAATCAGGAACACCAGGAGAGGTTTGCATTGAGCAAGCCTGGAAATGGATGTTTCTCTTCCTTGCTTTGACACAGCTGTATTTTTAGCCATCTAAGTATATATTTCTACATGAAAATAGCAGTAAGGATAACAGCCTGTAACATCTTGAGATAACAGAAGGATTCTGAGGGGAAAAAAATGCCATCATTATTTGCAAGTACATAAGAGGTTGTCTGGGCTCGTTTCCTCGCTGAAAAGGTCACATACACACATTTCTCTTCAGAGAACAGTCCTAGTATTCTTGTAACAAAAGACCAACAACTTTCTGCCTACTTTTGTGCAGTTGCCCTCTGGTAGCTCAGCTTCTACTGCCCTTGGTAGCCACATGTGCTCCAAGGTGTTTCTCCAACAGTCTCCAAGCAAACAGCCTCTAAATCTTCTAAGTCTTTCAAGTGCTCAAGCTGTATCGAAAATTAATCCCATCTCCCTCTAAGAGTCTCATTTATGTTGGAAATATATTCAGTTCTTTCCTGCATCACTGCACTTCAAGTACTTAAGGTTTCAATTCTGCACCACAAACCAAAGGATATGTTGTTTATCACAGATATATGTTGACAAGTCTCTCCCAGACAACTCTAGCTCTTTTCTCCAGGTCACCCCCACACCTTTTACCACTCCTCTCTCCCCAAAAACTTCTCCCTGTATAATTATTGTCCTCACAAGCAGCTCTTGCACCCCAGCACCTACTGCTCCCTCTCAGCATTCCTGTGAGCTCTCCTTGGGTTTGGCATGCTTGGAAGAAAAACCACTCTGCTGTAGGTCTGGTTATTTACACAGCAGGACAATAATGTTCCAGCCACTTCCAAACCAACTGTCAGCACATGGCTCTGGTGCCCTGTTCACTGGAGGGAGAGCCCTCTCTGGGCCCTGCACTCCTCACCCCTACATCATGCAGCTCAAGGAAAAAAATAATAAATCCACAACATCCCACACGCTTTTTTGGGTTCTCTTTTTTCCCTTTCTAGGATAAAATGTGGCTGGCATCTGTCCCCAAGCTTCCCTGCCTGAGCCTGGAGACAGAATTACGCAGATTCCCAAACCCACACAGTGCTCTGTGCTCTGCACAGCTTTCTGCTGCCAACTTACAGCTAGGGGTGTTTTTTCCAAGGGTCCATCTGCCTATAAAAGGAGACTGAGATAAGCAGTTAGAATTCATGACACTTCCTAGTTGGCTGTCTGAAATCTTTTGCACCTGGAAATCACCAGCACAGCATCCTCTGAGCAAGCAGAGGGGTGTGCTCTGCAGGATTGTTCCCAGGGCATCATCCTTCTCTTCTGTGAGCTCAGGTGAATGCAAAGACACTACAAGTTGTTGATGGTTTGCACTGCCCTGCCAGATGTTGAGTCACTCAAGTCAGACTCTGCTTTCCTTCCAACAGATTGCAACTCCATGCTCCCTACCCTGTGCATCTCTGCTCTTTCTTCAGCAGGTACTCACAGAATTCCCACCTGGCTCTCCCTGCTGTTATGCCTTCTGAACCTGCCCATGGTCACAAAGCCCACAGAACATGCCTACATTTCTCTCAGAGACCTTCCCCTACTGCAAACTGTTGGCAGAGTAAATCCATCACATTTGTACAGCGAGTCCAATTCAGATGTCACCTTTATTAGAAGAACTATGCTAAACAGATCCATGATGTGATGAGATTTATGCATGACAACTCAGTGATGGGAAGGCTCAAAATAAAAAGGAGATGGGGTAATACAAGCAGAGTTTTTCCAACAGACACAGCATTGTTGCTCATCCTTATGGAGATAGCTGTAAACCAGCTACTTCCATTGTTACTGACTGTGCATTCTCTCCTTTTAGCTAAGGATATCCCACAACAACCTAGTGATGGAGATGCATTTAAAAAACAAAGTTGTGTGTTTAGATAAACCCCTAGA